GGATAATAGGAAGAGATTTGGTAAATCACCCCAAAATCAACTTTGGACCCCAAACCTTACCGCAATCCAAAATGGACACCCTTGAGTGCGAGAATCTGGCTATCTAAGGCTCTCAGAACGAGGGAGCGTAAAAAAAAAAAAAGGAAGAGACATAATTGGGGGAGAAGGGGTAGAGGTGGGGAGAATAACCTACTTTTCCTTCTCTGAATTATCTAGGGTTTAATTTATGGCAGGAACACATCATATTTCCTACAAAGCCATCAACTGGGCAAATATTTCCCCATTTGGCTCGTTTGGTGTGAAATGGGGTAGAGAGAGAAGGTATTTTAGAAAAAGCTGAACGCAGAGAAAACGAAGGGGAAAATTTGAAGTACAAAAGCCCATCTTTCGGCCTGGCCTAGAAAAATCAAGACCCTCTGGCAACCGTGCGACAGCTTTGCGGGGCAGCCCAGGCCTCTCTCCACCTGAAGTGTTCTCCACTGTCTAATTTTGTGTCAAACCCACAAGATTTTGCAATCCACGGCCTTAAGGCAAGACGGGCCTGCCTACACGAAACTAATCACCACCCAGAGAGATAGGGACGTCTGGACAATTTGGTGGAACCTCTGAAGTTGGGAGTGTCTCAAATCGGCTTCCCCCAAGGTCTGGGATGCTGACTGATTCAAGGACCACTTTCCAACATATGACAAGATTGGAATATTTGTACCAGCCCGAGGGAGTGTGCATCATTACAGGGAGGGATATCGGACGAGCTCGACGCGTGGCTCCTGCAATCGAGCCAAATTACGAGATCTCGGTGCGGGACAAAAATGATGCTCTTTGAGGACGGGGAAAAAGAAACTTTGTACTGCAACTTTCAGTACCAGTTAAACCTGGCTTTGTTTGGTCACCCCCGGGAGGAGGGGAATGAAAAACGAGATTTTAATGAACAATTTAAAAATCCTTGCTTCTGAAGCGTTGAGCAAAGCACCAAAGATCTCAAACTTAACTAGTTTGGGGGGTGAGGGTGATCAGGAAAAGAGATTCAAACTTGAAACGGATGCAAATTGTCCCAGAAGGAAACTATCTGGAATTAGTAAGCCAAGATTGTTTGCACGCAAACCGTCTTAGCATCAATCTTGGAAATCGTGGCTTCTTACAACTGTTGAGGGCAGTGTGATTCGTTTGATCACAAATAATCCAAAAGGCTACTAGCCCTTGTAAATCCTTTGGCTCACCTAACACTACGCGGGACTCCGGATTGTATGAAACTCAGGACACCAACTTGGCTTTTCCCTGCTCGACAGGCCAACATCCTGTCCCAGAACCTAACATTTGAGAGTTGTGCCCAATAAATGTTGATTTCCCCCTTTTTCTACGAAACATCGAAAGCTTCAAGAAAAGAATTTAGGTGTTTGGTGCCCTTCACCAAACTTTTAAAAATGGGCCCGAAATTCTCTGCCGACAGCCTTAAGAACTATGATTTGACTTCGGATGAAAACTCTTCAAACACCTTTGTAGGAAAAAAATGAGAATTTTAGAACAGGGAAGGAAGGGAAAGGAAGGGAGGGGGATGATTGGGAAGAAATGGAGATATATTTTTTCCCTAATAAATCTTCCTTTTTTTAAGTCAGCCAATTCATTGACTACTTTCATTGTGTCCCTTTGGAACAGCGGCTCCTAAAATACCTAAAAATAAGGCCATTATTATATATATGTATGTATATATATATATATTCAGTTTTAAAACTTAAAAACTAAGACAAGTTCTGGAAGCTTCGTTTCCACGTTTTGTAGACCTCTACTCTCTCTACCCCCCCTTAACACCCCCCTTGACCCCCAGCTCAAAACCTTGATCACTGGGCGGTCTCCTTTTCAAGGCAGGGACCAGGTTTTTAAAAAATTCATCCACGGCTAGCGAGAGTTCATAACTGAGTGGGAAGATTACAAACAGAGATACATTATACACCTATAAGGCTATTTCTGACTTTAGTTTTTCTTTCATTTTTCTCCAAAAAAAAAAAAAAAAAGTGAAGAAACCATATTTATATATATTTTTTTCTTTCAAGAGGAACCGGAGGAAAGTTATAACTAGATTTTGTGACACTATTTTTTTTCTTTTTTTTTTCTTTTTGGTTTAGGAAAGTCCTTGTGTGTTTTTTTTTTAATCCCCCTCAGACAATCCCCCCAGCTACATTCAAACTTCCTGACGCCGCGTGGGCGTTCGAATTATCTTCAAAGTGCTGTTCTAACTCGTCCTGGGGCGCGGCGGGCCCCTGCGTCTCCTCGGCCTCCTCGCCCCCGGCCAGGCTGCTGTCGTCGGGATTCGAACTCGGGAGCGGGGTGACGGCCGCTTCTCTCACCCGGGGCTTGCGCCCCCGGCGGGAAGGGATGCCGTTGCAGCCATCTTTCTTAAGGTGCCGATGCAAATGGTCGGATCGGACAAAAGTCTTGAAGCAGCTCTCGCACTGGTACGGGCGGAGGCCCGTGTGGACGCGCATGTGATTTTTCAGGTCGTAGTTGTGGGCGAAGGCAGCCCCGCATTGCTGGCACAAGTAGGGCTTCTCCCCGGTGTGTTTTCTCATGTGGACCTTCAGCTTGTCTTGCCTGCGGAGGAGGGTGGGAAAAAAAAAAAAAGGAAGAGAAGAGAGTCAGGGCAAATAGGCTCGCTGATCGAGCTCGCTCTTTTTCTCGTCTTGGCTCAAACTGTTTCTCCGAAAATACAACCTACCCTGAAAGTAAATCCTAGCTTGGTTTTTTTTACATGCGCACCCAATATAAGCCCTACCCCCCCCCACCAAAATAAGCCCTAATTACAATCCCACCCACTCCAGACTGGAAGGGGAAAAATTAAGCTATGGTGGGAAGAGGATGGTGGAGCTGCCCTACTACTTCCCTTTGGACAGTTGTAGCCAGGCCTTGCACACCCCGACACCTGCCTTGCCAGCCCATTTCTTCTGCAGCCGGCAAGGCTGTCAAGGCTTTCCTGAAGGCCTCTGGAGCGGATAAGAAAGCTCCGGATGGATCCGAAGGTCTATTATCAGCTGCAGAGGCCTTCAGGAAAGTCTTGCTGGCTGCAGAAGAAGAAGTTCCTGAAGGCCTCTGACAACAAAAAGGAGGCCAGGGGTGACGCGTATAAGTGAGGTTAGTCAATGGATGACCTCCCCCGAAAACAAGACCTGGTGCCCTTTTTTGGTGGTAAAAAATTATAAGACAGGGTCTTATTTTCGGGAAAACACGGTAAGTACCTGCAGAGGTCTAAGCCGTCCACTTGAAGGTGAGTGTGGGGCTTCCAAGTAATACTCCCATGATAAATAGGACTCTGAGGGAGGCAGATTCCAAGAAACGGATTTATTGGAAATATCATATTGGCACAGGCTGGTGAAAACCGACTCTGAATATTCCCACCGTTTTCACCCAGTTCAAAGAAAAAGTTTTTCCCCTCCCCCAAACAGTCACATGGTCCAATCATTGTGCTGTCTGGTAACGTCACTCCGCATCTCTCCGACCCCCTGTGGGAATGTCCTTGGTTCCCAAGAGAAAGTATTTTGTTTTGGCTACAACCCCTTTCTATCTCTACTCCCCATCACCACCACCGCCCTAACCCTCAGCTCCAGTGTGGCAACACTAAAGCTAGAAAATGGCCTCTCTTAGGCCAACTTCAGAATCGACAGTGGGTGGACTTCAAATCCCAGCATTCCCCAGCCAGCATAGCTGGCTGGGGAATGCTGGGAGTTGAAGTCCAGGGGTCTTAAAGCTGAGGAGTTGTGAAACACTGCCATATGCCATTGAGAAAAAACATTCAAAGCAGCCTCCTTTGGAACTGAGAGTATGTATGGCAGGCTGGGGGTATTCTGGGAGTTGTAGTCCTCATGTCTTACAGTGGGAAAGTTTTTTAAAAAGCTATTTTTAAAGTAACATTTTTCAGTTTAGACCATTATTCAACACTCATTTTTAATTTCTTTCTTTGCTTCATTATTTCCTTTACATTTTTTTTTTTTTGTTAAATTGGAATTCAGCTGAATTCTCAGGAATGGTTATGCTGGCTGGGGAATTCTGGGAGTCGAAGTCCATGTACCCTGAGAGCAGCTATCAACTCCCAGAATTCTTAGGAAGAGTCATGCTGGATGGGGAATTCTGGGAGTGGACCATTGCTCCCTGGGAGCAATATTGCGAGAGCCACTTTCAACTTCCATGCTAGCTGGGGAACTCTGGGAGTTGTAGTCCATGCTTGAGAAAGGCAACCATATTGGAAAGGCACTAACTTCTTCCTCTCCTGGCTCCTAAAACAGACTAAAGATTTTTTTTTCTTAGGACTAAGTTCTGCTCGGTTACGTAAATATGTTGCAACACTTACTCCTTTTAATAACTAGCACGTTGTAATATTAAACCGAGCTGCTGAGTTCCAGCCTGGTTGCAGCCAAAAGAGGAGAAGGGAATGGCCCTGAAGTGGACAAAAATTAACTAAGCATTATAAAAAAATAACTTTATGGGGGGAAAAACAGTTGAATTGGGCATCAGACACTGTTTGCACGGAAGCTGGGAAAACTAAACAAAATCACAGATTGTCTTGCGGCTTCCTCCAACTATAGGTAGTCCTCAACTTACAACGGTTCGTTGAGGGACCGCCACAACGGCACTGGGGAAAAAAGTCACTTGCGACCCCTTTCCCACATTTACGACCGTTGTGGCATCGCCGTGATCCAAATTCAAGATGCCGGGCCACCGCTTTGTATTTACGACAGTTGCTGTGTCCCGGGGGTGTCCCGCGATCCCCTTTTTCCCGACAAGCAAAATCCATGGGGAAGGCAGATTCCATCGAACCCCCGTGGGACTAACTCAACAATTGCAACAGATTCGCTTAACAAGGGGGGAGGCAAGAAAGATGGGTCAAAATTGACTGATGAACCGTCTTGCTTGGCAGTGGAAATTCGGGGCGCTGTTGTGGTCGTTAAGTTGAAGGACTACCTGGTGGTCAGGACTGCCGTTCGGAAAAACCTTCTCTGTCTGGTCATTAAGGACAGACAAAAAAAAAAAAATGTCCAGCAATGCAAAAACGTGACATCTTTTCGGGGACTTCGGGCTGTTCTCCAGAGTCCCAGGGAGAGGAAGCTAATCCGATGTTCAGTTTTGTACCGTCTTATGTCATCCCAGGCCTCGAAAAATCGTTTTAATGGACTCTCTGGATGGCTCAGAGTATTCCCCTGACTGGACGGGCTAAAAGCATCATAAACCAAAGCCAGGAGATGGAGAGTGGAAATGGCTTCTCTCGGCGTTAAGATAGAATACAATAGCAGAGTTGGAGGTCTTCCAGTCCAACCCCCTGTTTAGGCAGGATACCCTACACCCAGGGTGGGCTGTAACCGGTTTGCACCGGTTTGTGTGAACCGGATGCTGATTTTACATCTGCTTCACCGAACGGGTAGTTGCAATAACAGTGTGGCCCTGCCCACCCCTCCCCAGAGTCTCAATGCGGGCCGTTTTGGATTCCAGGCTCATGTGGAGGCTCAGGAAGGGTGAAAAATGGGCCTCCCAAAGACTGGAAATGGGCCTGTTTCCAGCCTCTGGAGGGCCTCCGGAACCTGGGGCGGCCATTTTCACTTCCTGGAGGCTCAAGGAAAGCCTCCGGAGCCCGGGGAGGGTGAAAACTCCCCCCCACCACCGTGGTGCATAAGGCCGACTAGGCCACGCCCACCCAGCAACTGAGCAGAGAACCCGTTGCTAAATTTTTTGAAGGCCACCCCTGCCTGCACCACTTCAGACAAATGATTATCGAATCTCTTCTTTAAAACTTCCACAACTTCTGTTGCACTGATTAATTGTTATTAAAGTGAACCCGACTTTCCCCTGTTGACTTTGCCGGTTAGAAGGGTTGCAAAAGGAGGAATCACGTGATACACACACACACACCGGGGATGCTGTGACCGTCATACATATGAACCAGTGGCCAAGCGTCTGAGCATTGATCATGTGATCCTGGGGGTTGCTGGAATGGTTGTTGTCCGCCTTGGAAGTCACATTTTACTTGGAAGCTTCGAGGCTGCCACATTCAGTGTCTGGGAATCTGGGAGGTGGGGGATGAGGTAGAAGACTAGACACAACAACATTCCTTTCTCAGAGAGTCAAGGACATGTTGCCCTGCACCTGGAGGGGAGTGACTGGAGGGATGTCTCCAGTTCCGAAGATTTGATTGGGCCATGCGATGGACTGATGGATGCAGGGGATGGATCTTTGGTTTCTCTTTGGGGAAGGGAAAAACCCAGAACTTTCAGATTCGAGTTTTCCCAGATGTGCCAACAGGACAACTCTAATAAAATGGAACTTTGAGGAATTGTTTGTCTCTTGGTTTGGAGTTGGTTAGTTGGAACACTGACAATAGTCACTGTGAAAAGGGTCATAAGTCCCCTTTTTCAGTCCCGATGTAACTTGAATGGTCACTAAATGAACTGTTGTAAGTTAAGGATTACCTGTATTCTTTTCATCCTCCCCCGGTGTTGTAAAATCAGTTTCCAAGCCTTAGTTTCCCCAAAGGGGGTCAAAACCCCACCCTCTTCCTCTTCCCCCAGAATAGAATAGAATATAGAGTAGAGTAGGATATAGAAGGAAAGGGAAGAGAAGAGTTGGAAGGGAGCTTGGAGGTCTTCTAGTCTAACCCCCTGCTCAGACAGGAAACCCTATAGCAGGGGCCTTCCAACTTGACCGCTTTAAGACTTGTGGACTTCAACTCCCAGAATTCCTCCTCCAGTCATGTTAGCTCAGGAATTCTGGGAGTTGAAGTCCACAAGTCTTAAAATGGCCGACGTTTGAAGGCCCTTGCCCTATAGCATTTCAGACAAATGGTTGTCCAATCTCTTCTTAAAAACTCCCAGTGTTGGAGCATTCACAACTTCTGGAGGCAAGTTGTTCCACTGATTCATTGTTCTAACTGTCAGGAAATTTCTCCTTAGTTCTAGGTTGCTTCTCTCCTTGGTTAGTTTCCACCCGTTGCTTCTTTTTCCTGCCTTCAGGTGCTCTGGAGAATAGCTTGACTCCCTCTTCTTTGGGGCAGCCCCTCAGATATTGTAACCCTTGTATCATGTCACCCCTAGTTCTTCTTTTCATCAGACTAGACATATCTAGTTCCAGCCACCGTTCTCCATATGTTTCAGCCTCCAGTCCCCTAATCCTCTTGGTTGCTCTTCTCTGCACTCTTTCTAGAATCTCAACATCTTTTTTTTTACATCGTGGCGACCAAAACTGGATGCAGAATTCCAAGTGTGGCCTTACTACCAAGGCCTTATAAAGTGGTATTAACCCTTCAGGTGATCTTGATTGGTTTTATATGCAGAGTAAGATTTGGCAAATGGGTTTACGGGAGAGCAATGCACCCTCCGGCACTGCATTCAGCCTCCTTGGAAGCTCAATATTCATAATTTAAATGCACAGGGAGCGCACACCCCCCCTCCCAAGAGAGGGAGAATGGCTGTAAGAACATTAAAGAGGGGTGGGAGGAGTGGGAGAATAATTTTCATCCTCTCCTTCGAGGTCAAGAGCAACTCACTGGCCTCCTGCCTCAGAAGATCCTTCTGGAAACAAACAAATTAAAAAAACAACCCCAGTCTCTACAGAGAGAAAAAAAGACAGCCTCCCTTCTCGGCCATTATGCTTCTTCTCCATCACTCACTCCGAGATTCCCCGCAGGATGACCGAGTGAATTCAGTTCCTGGATTTAAGGAGAAGGAGAAGGAGAGGAAGAAGGAGAAGAAGAAGAAGAAGGAGAGGGAGAGGAGGAGGAGGAGGAGGAGGAGGAGGAGAGGGAGAGGAGGAGGAAGAAGAAGGAGGAGGAGGAGGAGGAGAGGGAGAGAGGAAGAAGAGGAAGAGGAAGG